TTCATCAAACTGGTTAACATAGCCTTCACTGCATTTTCTTACTTATTGTATTAAGACAATAAAAAAAAGGGGGGGGCAGTGCCTGTGGCTCAAAGGAGTAGGGCACTGGCCCCATGTGCCGGAGGTGGTGGGTTCAAACCCAGTCCCGGCCAAAAACTGCAAAAACAAAACAAAACAAACAAACAAAAAAAGACATTTATAATCTATATTTAGTAGATTTAACTTGTACCCTTGTAAAATGCACGGTAGATGTGGTCCCACCAATTACCCTCCTGCCACCCATCCTCCCCCCTCCCCTCCCCCTCCTCTTTCCCCTTCATCTTGGGCTATTATATGAAAGAGTGGGTGTTTATAAATTGGTTTCATAGTAGGGCTGAGTATATTGGATACTTTTCTTCCATTCTTGAGATACTTGTGATAGACATTTTGAGGTATCACTATGGCCAGACTACAGTCCTTAGTTATTCAGTCAAGTGCAAATCTAAGTGTTGCTATGAAGGTATTTGTATTATAAAGGATGTGACTAAAAGTCCACAATAAGTTGATTTTAAGTAAGGAAGATTATCCTAGATAATCTAGTTGGGCCTGATTCAATCAATGAAAAGTCCTTAAAAAGAGATATGAAGGAGAAATTCTGAAAAAGAAATTCTGTCCATAGATTGCAGCTTCAGCCCTCACCTGAGAGTTCCAGCCTATTCTGCTTGCCGTATGGATTTCAACTTTTTCTGATCAGCCTCTTGCTCTTACACAAGTCAATTCCTTGAAGTAAACCACTCACTGAATATCTCCTACAGGCTCTGCTTTACTATTGGAACCCTAGGGATACAGGTTTTGGTACTGGAAATGGTTCTAGGTCAGTGTTTTTCAACTTTTTTAAATCTCATGGCACACCTATAGTTAAATTTCCATGGCACAATTACATTGTGTTGATCAAAGGAAAGAGTTAAAAAAAGAATGTACTTACTGTACTTTGAACTTCTTTTGAAAATAATTTCATTAACAATCTTTAAAAATTTTGTTTTTGTTTTTTTTTAGAGACAGAATCTCACTTTCTTGCCCTTGGTAGAGTGCTGTGGCATCACAGCTTGCAGCAACCTCCAGCTCCTGGGCTTAGACGATTCTTCTGCCTCAGCCTCCTGCCACAATACCCGGCTATTTTTTTTTTTTTTTTTTGCAGTTTGGCCGGGGCCAGGTTCGAACCCACCACCCTCAGTATATGGAGCCGGGGCCCTACTCACTGAGCCACAGGCACTGCCCTAACAATCTTTAAAAATTTTAATGGTACACCTAAGATCCTCTCATGGCACACTGGTTGAAAATCAGTGTTCTAGAGGAACAGAATCATTTATTTATTTTTGAGACAGAGTCTCACTATCTAGCTCTCAGTAGAGTGCTGTGGTATCACAGCTCACAGCAACCTTAAACTCTTGGGCTTAAGCAATTCTCTTGCCTTAGTCTCCCAAGTAGCTGGGACTATAGGCGCCTGCTGCAATGCCCAGCTGTTTTTTTGTTGCAATTGTCATTGTTCTTTAGCAGGCTGGGGCCAGGTTCAAACCTGCCAGCCTAGGTGTATGTGGCTGGTGCCATAACCACTGTGCATGTAGCCAGAGAAATAGAATCTTAAGAATGAGTTTTATGGCTGGGTGCAATGGCTCAGGACTGTAATCCTAGCACTCTGAGAGGCTGAGGTGGGAGGATCCCTGAACTCAAGAGTTTAAGAGGAGATTAGCCTGAGCAAAAGAGAGACCCCATCTCTACTAAAAATAGAAAAGCTAGCCAGGTATTGTGGCAGGTACCCATAGTCCCAGCTACTTGGGAGGCTAAGGCAAGAGGATCTCTTGAACCCAGGAGTCTGAGGTTGCTATGAGCTAGCTTACGCCATAGCACTCTAGTCAGGTCAACAGAGTGAAACTCTGTCTCCACTGAAGAAAAAAAAAAAAAAGAGTGAGTTTTCTGAATTGGTTCTAGGTTTTCTTGAATGAATTCTCTATTATGATTACATTTAAAGGAACTATTGACTCTATCTCCAGTGGTAAAGGAGGGCATGGGTAGGACGAATCAAATACCCATAAAAAGTGAGGTTCTGAGTGACCATGTATTTGCTGCTTTAGAATATTCTAATATTTTAGATTCTTAGTCAAACTAAGGAATATAATGGCATTGGCCCTAACTGAACTTGAAGAAAGTAGGGGGAAAGGATGAGTTTAGGGTTCCAGATTCCTAACTTTAAGGATTTAAAAATTTAAGCTATGCATAGGTGACCTGGAAGCTTCTTTATCTTCCCTGAAGGAAACCCTTAGAGCCAAGATTTCTGAAAAGCAACCCTGAGTCTCATTCTGTGAAGGGCTGACAGAGACATTGTTTAGAGCCTTTGACAGGCCACTATGGGTGAATCATATAGCACACACCCTTAGAATTTTGGAGGAAAGCCTTGCCATTCTATGACTATAAGTACTCTCCTCTCTAGAATCAACTTTTGGCCTGTTGGACCTTAGTAGAAACTGAACATTTTACTACGGGCCACTAAGTAACCATGTGACCTGAACTGACCATTGTGAAGCACATATTATCTGATCTGAGCTATAAAGTTGGGCATGGACAGCATACTCCATTACCTAATTGAAGTGGTACATATGAGATTGGGTCTGAATGGGCCCTGAATGTACGAGTAATTTGTACCAGGAAGTGCCCCAAGTGCCAAATGCCCATGGCCCCTGCTTCTGCTATATTACTTTCCCTCTCCCAGCCTGCACCTATGGCCTTATGGGGCATTTTCTATGACCAGTTGACTAAAGAAAAGAAAACTCAGTCCTGGTGTTGGTTTATGATGGTTCTGCACAACACGCAGGCAGTAGGGGAAAATGGACAGCGGAGGACTACCGCCCCTTTCTGGGACATCTCTGAAGGGTAATGGTGAAGGAAAAGCTTCCTAGTAGGCATTAGTTCTAGCAGTGCACTTGGTGATTCATTTTTTCTGGAAGGGACAATGGCGAGAAGTTCTTCTGATCTACAGGTCTTGGTTCTAAATGAAGAAATGCTTCTACCATAAAGACCAAATTGGAGGCTTGGTGCCCACAGCACAGTGGTTACAGTGCTAGCCACATACACCGAGGCTGTCGGCTTCAAAACTGGCCTGGGCCTACTAATCAATGATGACAACTGCAACAAAAATAATAGCTGGGAGTTGTGGTGGGTGCCTATAGTCCCAGCTACTCGGGAGGCTGAGGCAAGAGAATTGCTTAAGCCCAAGAGTTTGAGGTTGCTGTGAGCTGTGATGCCCTAGCACTCTACAGAGGGTGACATAGTGAGACTCTGTCTCAAAAAAAAAAAAAAAGACAGAATTGAAAGTTGACACTGTCACCTGGTCAATTTGGGCATTGCATGCCTCTGAATCAACAGGGAAAGCAAGTTTTGTATTGGCTATGGTGACTGACTCTGATTAATGAAAGATAAATTCAGTTCAGTTGATACACAATGGAGATGTATCAATAATAGCTAATTTTATATTGCATTATTAAGTTACAGAACACCAATGGTGGAGAGGGAATATCCCCAATGACTAAATCCTCTTTTGGAAAAAGCACAGCATTTGATTATATGCAGGACGGCTGTTTCATGTTAAGTAGAAGTATGACTGACTTTGTTATTGTCTCTATTTGCAGACAATTTCTTCTAATTTTTTTTTTTTTTTTTAGTTTTTTAGCTTCTATTTTTAGGTTTATCATCTATTTGGAGTCACTTTCCTTGGGGGCTCCTCCCACTGCTTATGAAACATATAAATGAATCTTTCACCAATTTCAAATCTAAGATTCAACACTGCCACCTCCCTCTCCTTTGCTTTTTGTTCAATTCCTCAAGTCCTGTCAATTTTACTCCTTTCCCCTTTGTCTTTGACTATCTGGCTAATAGTCTTCTACCTGGCCTCCCTGTCTCAGCTTCACGATCCCCTCCAGAGCACTTTTAACACTATTTGAATAATGTAAAAACAGACACAATGATCAAATTATTCCCTCTGCAACCCTGCTTAAAAATCCTTAATGGCTTCCACAAACTCTCAGATTAAAGTCTCAAGTCTTTACCCGCTCCTGCCTACTTTTTCCCCACACTCAGACTTTCTCCACATTCAGAGGTCTTTGAGCAATCCATCCTGGCTAAGCCAAAATCTCACCTGGCAGACCCAGTTAACTCCTCCCAACTTAAGCTCGGAAGTCTAGCCTAACCCCCATCATCCTCCACTAAATCAATCTCCCTCCACACCCCGCTGTAAATGTTCTCTTAGCATCATATACCTCCCATTAACGTTTTCCTTCTCTACCAGTTTTCATACTTCATGAGGCCAGGGACTTTTAACCCCCACATTATACTCTCAGATCCTCGATCACAGAAGAAGCTTCAATACATAAGTGCTGAACGAAAAAATGTATTAGGAAAATAGGAATAATAAAAGAACGGGCTGGTGGCTACTGGCAGTCCCTTTATTGGTAATATCTAACTCAAAATAGTAACAGCTTCTGCTCTTCTCCCAGAAGCCTTCTAGATGGAAGGAAGGCCTTGCGATTCAAGATAGAGGGAACAAGTGTGTAACCCAGAAGGGCAGGCAGAAATCCGCACTGCTCGAGGTTGTCGTTCCAGAAAAGCTAGGTTCTTAGACGTCTTTGCCGCGGAGAGTTCCCTCGAAGCAGCTGAAAGTTACCTGCTGCGACTCAGCTACCCCAACGACCGCGTGGGTGGGCGGGCTAGGGGCGGGGCCACGTCCCCTCCCCCTGCAGCGTGCGCGCGCCCGCCCGCTGCCTCGCGCGTGCGCCACGGGCTGGGGGAGGAGGTTGTGGGCGGTGGCGGCGGCGGCGGCGGCAGCGGCGGGGGCGCGCGCGCTCTCTTTCCCCGGCGCCGGTTCACGCTCCCGTGCCGGGGCTGAGGCTGAGGCGGCGGCAGTCGCTGTGGCTGAGGCGGCGCGGGGGGAGGGCCGGGAGGGGGGTGGCTGGGGGGGATGGACCGGGCGCGGCGGCCGCGGCGGCAGGAGCCGGCGCTTGAGCGGCTCTGGCAGAGACGGCAGCTGCTCCTTTCCTCCCCACCGGTGAGTGAGTGCCCCCGCCCCGGATGCCGACGGCGGCCGCGGCCCCCTCTGGGCCCCTTGGCCGTGGGTGGGGAGGGTCGTGAGGGAGCGTGGCCCGCCGGCGCCGTTGCTGCTGGCTCGGCCTCCCGCTTGCGGCCTGGCGCAGCTGGGACCCTCGGTCGCCCCCTTTCGAGGTTGAAGCCCCGGGCCTAGGACTCGACCCCCAGCATCCCTCCAGCCGCCTTTCCTACCCCGACACTTTCCGCTGTCACTTTGACCCCCGGGCTCTTCTCCCCGCCCTCTCACCCCCTTTCCCAGCTCCCCTGCTTGAGGGCCGTGGTCTGGGAGGGGCGTGCGAAGAGTTGGGCCAAGGCCCGAGGGACTTGTTCGGGAGCTGGGGTCTTAGGAGCCCGCGATCGCCATAGTGTCCCCTAAGTTAGCTATCAGGACTCAGCCATTGCCACCTGAAACCAGTTTTTCACCTTTTGTTTTGATTTTGAACTTGTGGTTTGAGAGAACGAGGGCTCCGCCGTATTGGGGAGAATAGGTAGTGCGAGGTGGAACGTGGGACTGGCTTGGCAGGGCTTGGCCTCTGGGTGCCCTTTATTAACCCTTTTAGGAAAGGGAAAGGGGCGCAGTGAGTTGCAGCTTCTCCAGAGGGCCAGAGATGCGTTTATAGCTTGCAAATCTCTGCTTTTTTAGCGTAAGTAAAAGGTGTGTAGAGTGTTGGGCGGTCCAGTGGTTGGTTTGGCTCTTTCCTTGGCAGTCTTGTTGGTGAGGATCCCCCAGGCCAATCTGCAGGGAGTTTCTTGAAGCAGCCCACTTGAGCTGTAAGCTAATCCCTCCCCCCCTTTTGCTTTGGTGACATAGTATACGTTAGTCTTGGTAGATCCTAACCAGTGCTGTTTGCAGGCTGCCTTTTCATCCTATCTTGTTTGTCATAGAGAAAAGAAAGATGACTGCCTTCCTAAATCCGAAGTTGTAAGTCTGACATATTCAACAGAGGTACCTGTACCCTAAGCGTCTTTATGAAAGGTCTGAATTTCTGAATTAGCTTATTCTTTAAAAGAAACCCAGGGTTTAAATAGCAGGTCACTGCTTTAAAATAAAACAGAACTTTCATTTGTTTATGCCTTTCGACCATTGTCTTAAATTTTGGAAGTGATGGGTTATGAAACCCTTGTCTTTGAAGTACTTGTGTGTAGAAATTGTTGCAAAGCCAGGAGGAAGGAACTTACGAAAATGGGAATGTGATAATGATATAAAGTTCCTCCAGGAGGTAGATAAATTTTTTTCTCCATTTGTACGTTAGAAGATTGAAACTCAAATTGTGAGTAGGTGGTAGGTAGTCTTACTAGCGTCACATAACAAAAGATGTTTATAGGTGGGATTTTAACTCAGCAATACCTTGTCTTAGACCAGCTGAGTTGGCTTGTATTGTTTTTGAAATCACACACCCACTCACTGGCTAGTGTAGAAAGATTAAAAAGCTGCTTCTGGTCTGTGGGTGTAACCTTTTCATTTTTAAAGAGTTTTCAGCTGCTTACAGAATAGATTGCTGATCAGCAACATGGGAAAGATTTAGATGTTAAAAATTCATTAGCATGTGATCTAGATCTGTTATAATTATGAACATTTATTAAGATTTGGGATGTGTTCTGTATCCTATGTATAGGAAATGAGATTTCTCAGAATATTTGCATCTTAAGATAAACAGAAGCACAATCATCTGACAGTGTTGTGACACCTTTTTGAGAGAATGTCATGAGCACAGAAAAACCTGTAGACTACAATTTGATGAAGAACCCCAATGTCCTGGGACTAGTTGGTGACTATCATTACTTTAAGTTCTTTGGTCTTTCTCTCTACTGGAATATTTTCCCTTTCCTGCAAAAGTTTTTATGCCTGTCATAAGTGTACAAAGCCTACAGTGGCTGAGGGTTTAAGTTTAAACTCCTCAGAGTGGCATTTATGGATCATTCATTAATTTATTCATCAAATATTTATTGATGAATTTGTTTGTTCCTTACTTTGTTTCAGGATTTTTTCTAAGTACATGTCTATTGTGGGAGAACAACAGACAAGGTCTTTGCCCTAATTTAGTTTTGTCTATGTGTGTGGGATTGAGGAATATACAACAAGCAAATACACAAGATTATTTCAGATAATATAAACCAGTGGTCAGTAAAGTTTTTTGTAAAGAACTGGAAAATACAGAATGTATTTTAGACTTTAATAGGCCTTATAGTCTCTGTTGCAGCTACTCAACTCTCTTGTAGCGCACAACCACAGGCAGTACATGCACAAACATGTCTATGTTTCAGTTAAACTCTGGACACTGAAATTTTAATTTCATATAGCTTTTCACATGTCACATAATACTAGTTTTTAAATTTTTTTTTCAAACTATTAAAAAATGTAAAACTGCCCTACAGAAACATGGGGCAAGTTGGATTTTGCCTATAGTCGGGGACTTTTACAGAAAAAAAATGAACTATGAAGAAAATAAAATAAGCTGATGTGATGAGTGATTAGGGAGTTGGTCAAGACTTAGGGAAGTCTTGACTAAGGAGATTTTTGAGTTTTTGTCCTAAAAAATGGGAGAGATTTCCTGGTAGATAAAACAGTGCGAAGGTATGCAGGTGGAAGTGAGCTACTTTACTCTCTTTTTTAAATATCTTTTTTAAGAGATGGGGTCTCATTCTATAACACAGGTTGGAGAACAGTAGTCTAGTCATAGCTCACTGTAACTTCAAACTCCTGGGCTCAAGTGATCCTCCCTCTCAGCCTCCCAAGTAGGTAGGACTACAGGTGTGCACCACAATGTCTGGCTAATTTTTAAATTTTTCTTGTAGAGATGAGGGTCTTGCTGTGTTTCCTAGGCTGGCCTCAAGTGATCCTCCTTCCTTGGCCTCCGAAACTGCTGGGATTATTGGCATGAGGCACTGTGCCTGGCCCTCCTAAGTTTTCTAGCATTGAACTTGCCTTCATACCATGCCATTGTTGCCTTTTTGTGTTTTTTCATTTTTTGCTGTCAGGACTAAAAATGAACTGTCAGGACTAGGTTGCCCTCCTTCTATCAGGTTTTATTTTATTTTTTTTTGAGACAGAGTCTTACTATGTTGCCCTCGGTAGAGTGCTGTGGTATCACAGTTTACAGCAACCTCAAACTCTTGGGTTTAAGAGATTCTCTTGCCTCAGCTTCCCAAGTAGCTGGGACTACAGGTGCCCGACACAACGCCTGCTATTTTTTGGTTGTAGTTGTCATTGTTGTTTGGCAGGCCCGTGTCCAGTTTGAACCTGCCAACCCTGGTGTATGTGGCTGGCGCCCTAGCCTCTGAGATACAGACGCCAATCCCTCTATCAGGTTTTAAAAGTCTACCTGGCCAGGTGCAGTGACTCACACCTGTAATCCTAGCACTCTGGGAGCCTGGGGTAGGTGGATTCCTTGAGCTCAAAACCAGCCTGAGCATGAGTGAGACCCCATTTCTGCTAAAAATAGAAAAATTAGCTGGGCATTATGGTGGGCACCTATAGTCCTAGCTACTCAGGAAGCTGAGGCAAGAGGATCTCTTGAGCCCTTGAAAGTCTACCCATTGTAGAACCTAACAGTCAAAAGAAATCTTAACTTCTCAACAAATTACTCCTTGATTTTTCAGGTTCTATTTGAACATCATTGTTGACAGAAAATCCTTTACTTTGAGGTAGTTTATGCAACTTTTAGATAGTTGTAATGTTAGTATGTTAGTATGTTCTTCATGTTGTAATAGAATTAGACTTTGCATCTCTTCTCCCTTATCCTGCCTTACAGTGTCCACAGAGTAAAACTATAGTGGAATTGTACCTTATCCCAAGATAGGGTCTTCAAGTTAGTGCATAAGGCAGAAATCATGTAAGATGAAAATTCTGCATGAAAATCAGTGAACTTGCTAAAAAAGTATTGTATGCATGTATCTTTTGGGTATATTAATATCATATTTAATTCTTAGGCACGTTAAAGGCTGAGAGCCATTGAGTTTGAGTGAAGGGAAGAGTAAGAGGAAATAAATTATTATATAAATGTCTGGGCCTTCAAACTATTACTTAGCCCTGGGTTGAGTGCCATGGTGTCTTCATAGCTCACAGCAACCTCAAACTCTTGGGCTCAAGAGATCCTCTTGGCTGAGCCTTCTGAGTAGCTGGAACTACAGGCACCCACCACAACGCCCGGCTAGGTTTTCTATTTTTGGTAGAGATGGGGTCTGCCTCTTCTTTGGGCTGGTCTTGCCTGACCTCAAGTGATCCTCCTACCTCAGCGTCCTGGAGTGCTAGGATTACAGGTGTAAGCCACTGAACCTGGCCTATTTTGCTTTTTAAGACAGCTGTGAAATCTCTGGCAGAGAATGGGGGATGGTAGAAAATGGTTTATATTTACAAGTGTAATTTATTTAATTCTATTTTTCTGTTACTCCTTTGTTATATTAACTGATACTTGTAGTTGTGTTGTGAATGTTAAGATGATAGGTAAGGTAAAGAAGGCATTAAAGATGGTCAATGGTCAATTGATAAGGTGGTCAATAAATGTTTGCAGGATCTGAATTTAAATTTTTACTTTATTGGGCTCACATATACACTGTCTTTTGAAAAGTTGTAGAGAAGAACTTGGCCACCTGCTTCCTGTCTTCCCATATTGGCATTTCCTGTTGTGGCTTTACTGAACAGCTGTCACTCTCTTTGTCCTTGAGCACTGCTCACATTTTACCAGAGGTTGGGTTGTAAGTTAAATGGGTATGTGTATGTAACTCTGTTAGTTCTGCCACATGACTTTTCCATTTAACTCTTCACTTTTCAGGGATAAATATTTCCATTTCTTTTAGCTTTTTCTCATTTCTTCATCATTCTGGTTGTTCTTATAAGTGAGCCAGTTTATAATTTTTTTTTTTACTTTGGTACCTGGAAGTGCATTTGATGGTACAAACTCAAGTTTTTCATCAGTTTGATAGTTTCCCCTCATAATTCTAGACCATCTCTATATACCTATT